GAGTTTTGGATGAGAAACATGATAAAATTTAGAAGATGTTTGGAGAAGTAGACAAGAAGTTTTTATTCTTTTTTGTTTTTTTCAAAAACGTAGTATAAAAAAACTATTTCTTTTGACATGAATTTTGTGTTCTCAAGCTGGATATTTGTTTAGATGACTAATATTTTGGTGGTTGTCTCTGACATACATGACGTGTTTGGACAACATGCCGTTTATGATCCTAAAAAATGATGACTTTCGTTCAGTGATAATTATAGAGGACGACAAATCGTTCTTAGTTATATCTTGATGGAAACTACATGTCTGTAGCAAAATCCGTATTTGGACTCCTGACCGGTCCAATAGCAAAAGGCTATGTGCTAAATGCCCAACTCCGATTGGCCCAATAGTAAAAGGCTCTATGCTAAGGCCCAGCTCTAGTTGACCCAATAACAGATGACTTCATGCCACGACCCAACTCAGGTTAGGCTCATGCCAAAAGCCCAACTCCGATTGGCCTGAAAGCTAAAGGCTCAGTGCTACAACCCAACTCTGTTTGGACCCATATCTAAACTCATCCTGTGAGAGGACCATCCAACAAGATGGCTCATTCTATAAGAAGGACTACTCTATGGGTTGACCCATTTTACAAGCTGGTCCACACCATAAGTCAGCCTACTTCACAAGTTGGGATACTTTACGAGTTGGGTCATTCTATGATCAAGGTCACCTTACGAATTGGGTCAACCTATATTTTGGGTCACTCCACAAGTTAGGCCTTTCTACTCAAGCTCCACCCCATCAGTTTACACTCATCCCACAATAGGACTCTAAATCCCATACATATCTTAGTTCATCGAAGACTCCTAATCTTACATGAACTAGTACTCCTACTGCTACATGGATTAGCACTACGGGTTTCCTATTTACCAAACTCTTATTGTGAAAATACCTAATTTCACAAGGACTCAAGCTTCATTGGCTCATTATATAAACAAATGTTAGCTCTCTCATTAGATATACAATCACAACCCCTCTCTCTAGTTTACTAAGTTCTTGCTTCCAAGAACCATCGCCTTTCCCCACTATAGAGTCGAGTTCTGACTACTCTACGTCAGTAGTTGCCGTAGAACTGAGTTCCGACCACTCTACGCGATCAGTCGTGCCCTAGCTTCACACTTCCGGTAAACTCTTTTTCACTCTCAACCTTATTAAATATCTCACAACCGTGTTGGCTTCAATGCCGGAGTACTTACAGCCAACACCACATTGGTGTCTCCTAGTCATCGCGTTCACTTTTCTTTGTCTTTGCAGGTCTACGAGATTGTTAGTGGATCATTCCTCACACAATCAAATCCAAAGGATTTCTGGGTAGATTCTTTCGTCTACAATGTCTAATGTGAATTTTGTAATATCTCTTAACTCTTGGATTAGTATTATTTAATGAGAAACTATTGAATACATGAGTTTGATTATGATGAGTAGACAAAAGAGAAAAAGCAATGATAAGGTAAGGATCTAAGACCGATGTTCTTGGACTCGAAACTAAATGGCAACAAACACTGGATCCAATTCAAACACATGATAGTATCCCTTAAGAGAGGTTTAAGGGAGTGATGGTAAATTACATTTCTAACGATTTGTAATGAACATGCATTATACCAGAAAGCACAAAAATTTATGTCTGCAGTGATACTCTATGCCCAAATTTGGAATCAAAACTCATTCTAGGTCCACGTCTCAGGTGGATTACTAAAACAAAATGAGTAAATGATATGTTCCCACCTAAGATTTAGTGAAATCTAAGTCCCCACCTTGGTTTTATAAATTCTAGATTTTCATCCTTAAATTAATAGAAATTGTTTAATATAATGGTAAAAATGTAGAATAGTCATTTTACATTGCATTAAATATAAAATAAAATAAATTTTCAAAATAATTATGTTTCCACCCCTGGTTTTTGGCCGAATTCATCACCCTCTGCAACTCAGTTGCACCTTTGCAATCGCCAGTTCAGGCCAGTTTGGCTTGATTCTGACGCCGTCCATCACCCTTGACTCCACCTCCAGCTTCCCCACCCTTCACTCACAAAACCCTTCTCATCACTCACCGATCGCCAACTGTAGTAGTCGTGTCATGCGACTTTTTTTGCCAGTTTTCGGCCATTTTGTGTGGCAAAAACCCCAACCACCACCACCACCATTTGACTCCTCAACCCCTCTACTACAAAACCCCTAACCTTCCCGGCCATGACAACTCACCATTTGTCGTCCACCACTCTGCTTGGGGTTTGTTCGTGTTTGTTGGAATTGGATGTTGATAAAGGAGTTTTTGATGCAACTGAAGTTTTGGGTCTATTTGGTTGTTTAATTGGAGTGTTTGTGTGCTTGTTTTTGGCCGGAGAATCCATCCATTCACCACCATTTGCTCATCTTTCTTTGGTGCACATCATGTGCTCGACGAATTACCCCAGCCAACCTTCCCATCTCTTTTTTATTGTTGTAGACTTGTTAGGTGGTGAATTTCAACTTCGCAAACCTCAACTTTTGCAACCGTTTTCTGATCGCCTCACTTACTGGAAATTCACCCAACCACCTTCATTCGACCCCCCATTCTCCCCTCTTCAAAACCCACCCCCACATCATCTTCCCTCACTCACTATTTACCGTCCATCGGCCTTTTTTTTTTTGCCCAGTGGGGGCGATGGCTGGACCAAAATCTAGAAAAGGTTTCGGGAATGGCCAAAATCTTAGGGTTAAAAACTAATTTTTTAATTTATTTTTCAAAGGTAGTTTGGTAATAGCACTATCTATACTATGTCATAACAAAAAATCACAAACGGCCTTAATCTAAAGGTGAGAATTTGGAAATTTTGAAAGCAGGGGTGGGAATCTTGAGTTTCACTAAACCTTGGGTGGGAACATGTCGTTTGCTCAAACAAAATAATAAACCAAGAATCTGTATAAAATAGACTCTAAATCAATTTACATACATCTTCCGCTGCAAACCCGATGAACCCACCAACACTACACTTATTGATAGATTTCTTCTTCGAATCTTCCTATTCAATACAAGTGTACCACAAACATAAAAATGTTCCAATGGGCATCAAAACGACTAATTCTGTTTCAAATCAAGCAACTGATTAATTCCCTTTCAATCAAGCAAAATAAAGCCTAGTACCCCTCAACCAAGTGAATCAATGTTGTTGCCTNTAATTTTTTAATTTATTTTTCAAAGGTAGTTTGGTAATAGCACTATCTATACTATGTCATAACAAAAAATCACAAACGGCCTTAATCTAAAGGTGAGAATTTGGAAATTTTGAAAGCAGGGGTGGGAATCTTGAGTTTCACTAAACCTTGGGTGGGAACATGTCGTTTGCTCAAACAAAATAATAAACCAAGAATCTGTATAAAATAGACTCTAAATCAATTTACATACATCTTCCGCTGCAAACCCGATGAACCCACCAACACTACACTTATTGATAGATTTCTTCTTCGAATCTTCCTATTCAATACAAGTGTACCACAAACATAAAAATGTTCCAATGGGCATCAAAACGACTAATTCTGTTTCAAATCAAGCAACTGATTAATTCCCTTTCAATCAAGCAAAATAAAGCCTAGTACCCCTCAACCAAGTGAATCAATGTTGTTGCCTTGGTTTTATGGCATTTCTGTAATTGGGTAATGTCTATAGGACATAACTGTCCGATGTTAAGGTACAGGTACTAACTAAACAGTTTAAAAGTTCGTTCTTTTGCAATTTGGGCACCAAAAATTAGTTTATTTGAGTGTTCCCAATGCAGTTGAGATCTCTCACTTTTTCTCCAATTAGAAAATTATTGGTCCATACGTGTACACTACGATCACAATTAAGTCGAGATAAGTCAGCAATAGCATAACTAAGATAAACCAATATTTCAACTTTTAATAAACAACCCAAAGGTGAAATTCACTGTTTTAAAACCCAGATGGAAGCGTAACCCGTTCTACTGGGTTACGAGTCAACCTGTTGGACTAATGACATTAGCAATAATTTTACTTTTTTAAAATTCTATTAATCCCTTAAATTTTATATATTACAAAAATCCCCTAAAAAATTTCGAATTAGCACTAAAAATCTTATTTATTTCAAAAATGCCCTAAAAATCAATTATCCCTAAACTTTTGACATATCTCCAAAACACCCTTAGAAAATTACAAGATAGTCCCCATAAATTTAAAATATTAAAAACCCCCTAAGACCTAAACTGGACCACAAAAGCTACCGGATCTCAATCGGACTGATCTGGTTGGGTTTTAAAACAGAAGTGAAACCTAACAAAGTAGTCAAGCCTTGGGTTAACCGATTAAACCAATTTGACCCACCAATCAAACCGGTGTCCAAAGGTTTGATATTCAACCAAAATACCCTTAAAACTTACATAAAATCCCTACAGATTTGAAATCTTGCAAAAACACTTCAAACACCATCGCTAGTGTCAAAAACCTAGGCCAAATAAGGCCTGTTTTCGACAACAACAAAACTCCTCATCACCACGAAAACACTCCCCTCAACCTCATAACCAAAACCCATCTCACCCCTCCGTCGTTCGATCCACCAATTGCCAACAAACCGCTATTTTGGGCAATTGATATTTGCCTTCTCCAGTTGATTCACTCACTAAAAATCACTCCTTTCACCACCTTTGGACTCATCGACACTTCCTCTCCAAAAGCCCCAACATAATTGTCATTGTATGCTCACCGATCACCATCCATAATTCTAGGGTTTAGGATGAACAGTTGAGAGTGATAACCCGCTCGACAAAGACCCCGAGTCTTGATTGAACCGACTCAACTGGCCAAGCCGAATATCAAAATACAATGTAGGGGAGTAGACTAAAATACTTATATCCCTCAAAATGTTTGCATCCATCTAGACATATTAAAGGCCCAATATCTCAAAGAAATCATTGAGAGCCATATCAAAGGTACTGCCATAAAAGTCAAACAAGCAATTCAAGAGCTATATAATTTCTCAAATTTGGCGGGCTTTCGAAATAATTCCATCATTTTACATAAGCTAAAAAGTAACATTTATACTTGAAATGTTTGACCTCAATTCATTAGCTAAACAAAACTTCCAAGAGTTCCAACAAGCTCTAAAATAGTAAAACCATATCCAACTACAGACCAAAAACAACTTGTAACATTTAAATAAAAGCCCTAATGACCAAAGATAAAAAACCTTCATTAAAAAGAACCATTGCTCAGATCTTAATCGAAGAGGCTGAAACCCATATCCTGCATAAGGCAAAAGGAAAGATCAGGCAAAATAGACAAAAGTATTCTTAAAAGCCAATTGAGTCACAAATCAAAAGCTAATATTAAAAAAATTAAAGCTAGACTAAAACTCTAATTCATTAAAATATAACTTACATCATCGGACTCTTCTTTCTCTTCCACCTTCTCTTCTTTCTTTGCCTCAGCAGCAGGGGCCGCAGCAGCACCACCACCGGCAGCAGGGGCTGCAACGGCAACACCACCACCAGAAGGCACGGATGCCAACTTCTCCCTTCCGCTTGCAATTAGCTCAGTGATATCCTTGCCCTGGACTTCAGACAATAGCAACTCTATCCTGTCGTCATCAGCATCAGCTCCAACTGCCAAACAGAAAAGTCCAATAGCTTAATGTAACAACCAATACTGAACATCAATTTAGTTTCTGAGATAATAATCCCACAATTCATTGTGAAAGTTCCATGTCCAACAATTTAATTTCTGAAATGACAATCCCCACAATACAACTTGAAGTTCCAAGTCCAAGATACTCTTCATAAAAAAGGAAGAATATATTTTCATCTTTTAAATTACTGGAGTCAAAAAATCTTGATTGCTTCAGTTTTCAAATGTTGGTAAACGGTTTTGCACAAACATTTTCAAAAATCTTAAAAACTTTTCAAAAACTTTGTAAATAAGATCTGACAAGGGTGTTTCTAGTTTCTTCATAAACATTATACAAAGAAATTAACCTTTTCGGCTTCTTCCATTTCCAAATACTTTTTGAGAAAAATTACCAAGAACATTCTCAATCTAATCCACACTAAATCCAATTATCAAAATTCATTCAAAAAAGAGAAAAATTAAGAAACTTTCAACTGCCGCACTCTAAAATTTCTGGTATGTTTTCCTACTTTGTTTATTCAATATAACAGATAACAAAAAGCAGTTTGACCAATATTGTTATAGTAACTTATAAATCAAATAAATTGAATAATAAACCATTAGCCAAAAAAAAAAAATCAACTACGTATTAAAAACATTATACTGTTATTAATTTCTCCATAGAAAATTGTGTGCAGTATTACAAAGTGTACCTGATCCGAGAATATCCTTCAAGTCACTAGCCGATGGGCTTGTGTTGCCTCCCAACACGGCAAGCAAATATGCGGCGATGACCTTCATTTCTGCTCAAAACGACACAAAACGAGATCAGATCAGAATTACATGTTAGTAATAGCGTAGAGATAAAGAAGTGTTAGTAAAAGAGTGTCAGTACTTGAGAATGGAGGGGCAAGTTGCGAAGATTGGCGTCGACAGCTAAGGCTTGAGCTTGCTCTAGGGTTTGTAAAGGATTTTGGCGATGCAAGGATTATATATATAGCTAGGGTTTTTGGTTTGTGAACTATGGTTGAGTTTGATCAGATCGCGACCGTTCATCTGCGTTTCCTATATTGTCCTTTTTCAATGTTTGGTTACATGGATATTTGAACCACGGCCGTGGTTAAGGGTCACTCGTCTTTAGCTTCACTAATCGCTACCCTATCCCAGGTTTTGACGAAAATATAATTTATATAAAACAGTTCATTGTAAAAATTATTATAAATCTTGCTTAGAAGTTACCATTTTAATTACCATTAGGTGGTTGAATGATCAAATTAGGATTCTTAAGTGTATTAATAAAGAGATTTTAAATTTGATCAACCCATAATAAAGGTATCCTTAAAACACAAAGAGATTAATTGAAGTACACACAAACTTTATACCAAGTTTTCAAATTGACAGGTGATTTATGAATATATTAATTATACAACATTGTATAATATTATGTAAACAGTATAATATAATAGTTGGTAACAAAATTACATTATAATTAATAATACCAAATTCAAAATAATAGAATTCCTTCTACATTAAATAATAACTCTTAAGTTATCTACTTCATGTGGCATTAATTTTACACTTCAAAGTTTAAACCATAGACCAATGTCTGGTGTTGATTAGAGCTTTCAATGGTCAAACAATGGTGTTGATCAGCTTTAACTTGCCTTAATCGACTTTAACCCTTAGTTACTTCAAGTTTTGAATTTTTTGAATTTGTTAGTTAAATAATAATTTTAAAATGTATATATTTGTAGATGCAAAAATCAACCCTTACAGAAAGAGGGACTGATCCCGTGAGGTTGAGGCCACTAGCGATCTATTGCCCCTACACACGCAAGAAAGCAAGCGTAAAGCGGACGAAAAACACCGGGGTGGTGTTTGCCGTAGGCACTCCGACGCTCAAGTTAGCAAGGCTGAATGAGGCTAGTTTAGTGAGAGTCAGGGAGAGAAAAGGTTACTCGGAAGTCTAGTCGAAGACTGTGACTGCGGCTATAGTGCAAAGTTCTCAAGAGTGGGAACTCCAGGGTTTGAAGGTGTAATGTGTTTGTCCCTTGTGAGAGAGCTGACCTCTGTTTAAATAGTGACTATAGGGTCTTCGAATCCTGGTGGGACTGGGAGTCCTTGCGACGGTGGTTTTTGTGAAAGAGTGGAGCCTTTGGCTCCCTTATCTCAGTAGGAAAGGGAGTCCCAATGTGCCTAGGATACAGAACTTAGATGAATCAGGATCATGATTGACTTCTTTAATAGAGTTCAAGTAGTACTATAGTTCGTAGGTGACTCTAGGCTCCGAGTTTATCGTAAGTCTAGAAGGTGTTTTAGGATCAGACGGCCTGGGTCTACATAAGCTGGCAGTGAGGCCTGAACGGATTGGGCCTCTGCTGATTGGGTCCAAATGGTGAGCAATTGGGAAAGCATACTGAACGGGCCTCATCTGCAGAACTCTGTTGTGGGCCCAATCGGAATTGGGCTTTAGCTTCCAGCCTTGTTGAAGGTATCTTCGTCTTTGAGCCTACTTAGGGCGAGGACCTTTTTTTACCCTAACAATTTGCCTCCCACTCTTTGAGTTAAGGAGTGCTTAGCTTAGAGAGTAGGCATTGCATGGAGGTGTATCTAGTCGGCCTTCGCGACCGACCGGTTGAACTTGTGAATGTGTTGCTTCTCCGTTCCCGGGAACGAATGGTATAGCTTTTGTTGTCGGTGGGGCATTTGGTACGCCAGTGCACTGATTCGAGGTGAAACATAGTCATGGACGCGTTCGGTGCATTAGATCGAGTGGAGGAGTAGAGTCGACCTCATTAGACTCGCCCAATGTACCGAGTCAAGGGGGAGCATAGTCATGGGCGTGCTCGGTACATCCGATCGAGTGGAGGAGTGGAGTCGACCTTGTTAGACTCGCCTAGTGTATCGAGTCGAGGGGAGCATGAAAGAATCTACTCGAAATACCCTCACTCAGTATGTCCTCCCGAGCGGGAAGGTGTGAGAAGCCTCCCAAGATGGTGTCCTCATTCGGTAAGTCGAGACGAACGACAGGGTGTGTGAGCTGTCCCATGAAGGTGTTGCCAGTCGGTGTATCGAGCCGAGTGAGTAGGTGTGCGAATTGTCCCATGAAGGTGTCCTCACTCGGTATAACGAGCCGAGTGAGTGGGTGTGCAAACCATCCCATGAAGTTGTGCTACCTCGATATTTCAAGCCAAGCAAAACTCGTTAGGCTTAATTTGGTGGTGGGGCCTAAGGCCGATTGATCGAATCCGGACTGGGTGTGTGTGCGCACTTCCCAGTCGTGAATGGGTCCCCCGTCCGTGATGACCGAGTAGCTTGGTGCTACAACTTTTGGCGATGCTTGTCACAGGGCCCAAAGGCGGGGCTAACTGTTCCAGTCTCGCCGCTCAGTCGGGAGTCCTGAATGGGTGAGGTGCTAGAATGCGTTGGCTTTAGGGATAGGCACAAAGCCCAGCCCCGCGAGGACCCACCCCGACCCGACCCAAACAGGGCTTATTTTCCCTGAATCGTTCGGGCTTTGGGTCAGGATCGAGCCTAAGATTAGCCCTGGAATTCGAGGACGAACCGAGGCTAGGATAGGTCTTGGCTCGACCTGTATATATATATAAATATATATATCAATTTTAATTTTAATTTTAATAATTAAAAATTAATCGTATATACCTATATTAATTTTAATATTTGAAAATCAATCATATATACCTATAATAATTTTAATATTTGAAAATCAATTATATATTATACAATGACAAATTATAATTGTGTAAGTATTTTATGAAACTATATACAAATAGGTAATAAATAAAACTAGATTAAATATAATAAATCATTATAAATATTTGTAATATATATATATATAGACACATAATTGTGTAAGTATTTTATGAAACTATATACATATATTTTATACAATGACAAATTATAATTGTGTAAGTATGTTATGAAACTATATACAAATAGATAATAAATAAAACTATATTAAATATAATAAATCATTATAAATATATTAATACTATAAAACAAAAGTGATACATTCGATATTATATATTATACATTATATATGGTATACATTTGACATTATACATATACATTATACATTATACATTATACATTGTATATTATATATGGTATATATACTATATAAGCATAATGTATATAACATATATATGTTGTACATTATAATTTATACATAATATGTTATTATCTATAATCTTACGTTAATACATAATATATATGTAATATATTATTTGTTGTTTTGATTGATTATAATGAATCAATAAATCATTATAGTTTTTTTTTTTTTTCCCTCATTGAATCATTATTTCAATTCTATTACCTAATTGCCTTTGTTATATTGTGATAGCTATTTATTTAGATTTTATTATAATATATATGGTAGTTATTTATTTAAAATTTATTATAATATATATGTATAATTTATCATATGTAATACATTATATATTAAAGAGACATTATATATGTTAATACTTATTACTTAATATAATAATACATAATATTATACTATTAATATATAATATATTTATATATATGTATAATATAATATATTTATATATATGTATAATATATTATAATTATCATTTTGATATTTGGATTCATTATAATCATTAATCAGGGGTGGATCCAACACTTGTTGAGGGTGGGCATTTTAACAAAAAAATACTAATATGTATAATTGTGGGGTGGGTCTTTTTAGCAGCTCATGTTTTGAATCTTTTGATTATATATCTCTCACATATTGTAATATATTATCAATTTAGTGTGATGGTTTTTATATTTAATATGTACATTATAGATTTAATTTCTTTTTTGATGATATGGTCTTTATGTTTAACATGTATATTATATATTTAATTTTTTTTTTTTTTTGGTTGGTATATATAATTTGGAGAAAAGGATAATAAAACTAATAAGGATACAAAAAGACAGAAAACCCCCAAATGGGGGATGGGCTTTTTTCGGGGATTCCCCGAACGGGCTTCGGGCCAGGATTGGGGAATCCCTTTGGGCTTTCGGGTCGAGCCGGACACAAGGGTCCCCAGCCCTGCCCCAACCTGTGCCCATCCCTAGTTGGCTTGGCCGCGAACAATTAGTATGCTTGACAAAGCCAGTTCGGTCGGGTTGGCCGCGTGATTAAGCATGGCACGTGCGTGGGATCGTGATTTCTAAGCATGCGTGGATTCGCTTCACGTATGCGGTGGAGGTTTTTCCTTCGTTTGGGCGGGAAATCGAAGGGTCGCTCTATACCATAACCAACGGGACACTGCCACGTGTCTCTTTTTGTCAAGCTTCGTCCATAAAAACGAGGGACGACTGTACGTCTTCATTTCGCGTCCCTTTTCTCTTTCTTCACATTTTCTTCTTCTGTTCGAGTTTTTCTTAGCGGCGGTGGTTTTTCTTTCACGGATTCCGGCCATCTTCATGGTAAACACTGGCTTTTTGCATCGTTTTTTGTTTTTTTTTCTTCTCCTCTTTGTTTGTGTAGAGTTCCTGGAGGGTTTTGAGTGGGATTTGGTTAGTTTTTGAAAGGGTTTGGAAAATTTTTGGGAGGTGTTGTGCTTTATTTTGAAAGGGTTTGAATTTTGGGGCAACGAAGAAGGTAAAAATTTCTGTCGGCGATCAAGGATTCTGGGTTTTGGGGAGAGTAGAAGATGAGATTGACTAACATTAGTCTCTCATTCGGCTCGCCTCGGTCCGCCTGACCGGGTTGAGTGCGGTGCTTCGAGTGAGGTGATCTCTTGTAAGGGCTGGTTATTTGGGTCGTCCGGTCTTCCCGACCGAGTGTTGTGAGGTTCGTGCAAGTAAGGCTGAGCCAAGCTGGTATTCAGTAATCTAGATCGAGCTGTAGGTCGCATAGGGGTTGAAGAAGTTTGGTGTTTGAGGATCGACTGATCGGTGACTCAGGGCGAGTCGGCATCAGAGCAGGGTTGGATTTTTAATAGATCGGTCGGTCGGTCGCCTAGGTCGAGTGAACAAAATATTCAATGTCAAGGTCAGGGTCGAGTAGTTCGAGTGGGGTTGAGGCAGA